TTGAATTTGCCACTACGCAGATCACGCAAGAACCGTTTCGGTTCTAGCGTTGGCAACTGAGTGATCTCCGAAGTTAACTTCGGAGGCACAATCAGATCAAGCGTATAAGCGCCTACGCTTGATCCATCATTAACCAAGACATTCAGTGTCTCGATTACCTCCTGGGAAATCACTTCCACAGTATCTGGGTTAGCTTTCTCCACAATGTAGTGATCATCTACATTGTGTTCTTGTACAGTCGTGCTAACGACCGTACCACAAGTGAGGCCATCGCACTCGCTCGTAGTACACCCACGTGAGTGTGGGCGTTCTAAAATATTCGTCAGGTGATTATCTAAGGAACAAGTAGCAGGTGTCGTAACCTATCGATACTACCAACTCACTCTTGGCTCGTATTTACTGAGCCAAGGCAATCCAAAGATGACGTCGAACTTGTCATCTAGGTCAAGCACGATGAAATCATCATCGTACTGTTCGCTTTTTAACGTGTTGTAGATTCCGACTACACTTTTCTTCACAGTGATCGATGCGCCTGTCGCTAGGCGCACCTTCATCTTCGTTGGTGGGATCTCCCGCTCCACGAAGTTAAAACTTCCTGCCTCTAGCGACTGGTGACGAACAAAATTGTTCGACGCCCCACAGTCAACTAGGGCACGAAGTGACAAGTCTTTTGTCACTTCCAACTTCAAGGTGATGAGTGACACCTCATCACCAGGTGCAGAGACACACAGAAATTGTGTGTCGGGAGCAATCTTCTTCAGGAGATTTGCAAATTCTCTTGATGTTGCTGGATCAGTAGGGTGCTCCGCCCCTACTGACCCCGACCATTTTTTGATGGTCCACCTCGCTGTTGCGACTTCGCAACATCAACGGACCCTCGTCCTCCAGTTCTTCTTGCTGGTGGGTGAATACTGCGCTCAGCACCGCGAGGTTCTGAGCGGGGGATACTGCATTCATATGCATAGTGTCCCAGTTTATGACAGCGATGGCATCTCACCATTCGCTTTCATTTGCAGGGCGAGGTTTCTCGCCCTTGATATTACAGAGATCCATTGGGACTGGGCCTTTGACTGCTAATAGTCTTTGTGGACGATGCGGGGTCAACGTAGCGTGAGACTGTCTCACGCTATAATCTTCTTGCTCCGCTGCGAAGATTTCCTCTGAGATCGTCTTTAGCTCTCCGCGGAACAGGTGGTCCCTAACGGGACCTTCTGAAAGCTTTTGAATAAAGATTGTGATCATCACAAACTCACTCACAGGGTTCACTACCATGCAGCTTGCAAGGTAGCGTACGTGCTGAGCGTAAGCGTGAACCTTACGCTTACCCTGTTTGATTCCAAGGAGTTCATATAGTGTTCTGAACTCTGCTCTGGGCGGCTCGAACGTCTCACTGAGCAGGGTCTTGAAGACATCTAACGACCCAAACACATTTGTGTCGTGCAACTTACGGTTCAGGGCTCAAGCTCTGGCTTGTCCTGTCAGGTTATACTGAGAGAATGATACTTGCATTCGCTCATCGTTGATGCGACGAGAATCGATGCCATCGTCCAGCTCAACGAACCATCTCAACAGGGATTCTTCCTCGACTCCCCGATACTTGGAGACCTCTAGTTTTAGAGACTCCCGTCGACGCTCACGCGTCGGCTCTGCGGACTGAGACTTTTGTTGTCTCAGTGCTTCATTCCGCTGGTGATCTTGTTGTTAAAACAAGGTCACCTGAGCTCGCGACTAATCAAGTTCTCGTTGCAAGAACTTGCTGATGACGTCATGTTGCTGGCCCCTATCCCTTGAGGATAGCATGGCCCAGATGGCTTCCTCGCCAACGGTCGAACTCATTCGTTTGATCGCACTCCATTCGATGTCGCTCAAATGAAAGTAGCTTTTGCGGGATCCGTGACAGCTGTCGCCGTCTACATCGTCCAACATGTTCATGTTGGGCGATGGGGTTGTGGTCCTTGGACGGACTACAAAGTGCTACCAGGTGTAACGGGGCACTGTTGACTACGTACTGGTTGACCAGTACGGAGTATACTTCCACTGACGACAGTGGTCGACAGTGCCCTGCTAGGTGTTTTAGGGAAAACACAGAGGAAGGAAAGGAGACTAAGTAGTCAGACTAGTCTCTTGGTAAAAGTAAAACTGTATTAATATAATTAAGTCCTATAACTCCTTGTATTTCTGTTGTCCTGACTTAACTATACTAATGTAACCATATGTATGATGACATCTACTCACCACCCATTGCGCGCGTCTAGCAGCGATTAATGGGTTGATATAATCACGATATCAACCAATGAGTAGACCCTTCGGTCATCCCAACAATATCACCATGTCTTGTGATATTGTTAATAGAATATTCGACGTAATATTCTTTCATGTCAAATTTTTTAATGACAATTCATGTATCGGGCTACCCCGTTACACGAAGCGTCAACGGTTATATCTTCTCTTAGAGCATATGATGCTGTCGACGAAAGAAGACGCAAACTTGTGTGTACAAGCAAGTACCACGGGAAACACAAAGAGATGCGTGTCGATCTTGATAGATGTTGACCATTCGCCTGTTCGTAAGATATTCGTTCGCATCGTATGCGTTCTTGGGTCGGCTATTGTTTTACAAAAATTGGCACACTTCTCACAGCACTTATTGATTCTAGTAGTGTCTTGATTTGACTTGACCGAGATCCCCCGGTCGGTTATGTACTCCACCATATTAATGGCTTGTAGATATTCTGACTCGATGCCTCCCTCCTCCATTTAAGCGTCCGTGCTCGATGCCTCCCTCCTCCATTCAAGCGCCCGTGAGGCTATAGATCACGTATATACACTATTAGCACTTTGCTTTTCCAAAGAGCTACAACTATATTCTTTAGATTTAATCGTTTATACAGTTGCATCACGTGAATGTTCTGTCTTGGTGTAGCGGAGCTACACAGCTTTTTAAGTCAGAGGAAGACTTAACGCTCAATGAGAAACTTTGGTTTAACGAACCCGACTCAAAGATTCAACAGCTCTACGAGCAACTTTGGTTCTACAAACCCGACTCAGAGAGTCAACAAGCTCAGAGAGCTTACGGTCCCTGTTCCAGGGGGACCAAACGATTCAAGAGAATCACAGCACAGAGTGCCCAAGAGCAGCTACCTTTACAGGCGTTGCTAGCTCTTCCGATCAAGACGCCTCGCAAGGCACGTGTCTTATGTTGATCAAAATGGGAACTGAATTTTATTTCTTCTTTTAACCTAAAAGAACACCGTAGAACAAAGTAAATAACCTACTCACTTATGTACTAAATAAACCTATTAAAAGATCTCGTAATCAATTGTTGACAGACATCAGTCTTCAACAATTGATACTTGTGTTCTAATATTACTTTAAAGGGGATCCCATCCCTTGTGTGTACCATACCTATTGTCGACTACCAGTCGACGTGTAACCCCGTTACACCTGGTCTGCGATCCCTAGAACTGTCATTTGTATAAACTTCGCTGGACGTCTTCAAAATAATTGCAAGAATATGTATTCTAGGACCTCTTCACGTTTTACGCGAGTAAACAAGAGATATGCACGACCATCTAGGCGTAGTGTGTGAGTGCTTGTGTAAGTGAACCGCTGGATCAACAAACTTTCGAACCCTCTTGACGTCGAATGGCACAGTTTATCGGTGATCTCCTTGATATTTTGATAGATTGAATCGTACGCCATGTTTTACCTCAATACAGCCAAGAAGTTTTGATTCGGTTACCGCGAACATACACTTCTTGCGGCTGAAGTACACCTTATACTCACGCATAAGTGTAAGCACTTTCCGGACATAAATTATGAGTGCCCCCACTTTTGGACTTCTGTCCGTAGTCTGGTTGCGGACGACAAATCGTCTCGATAACTCGGCTACAGTTTGCACCGGCTCAATCGATAAGCATCACACTTGATTCGGCTGAGGTATTGGTCAGCTCTTGCGGTATGAATAGCCATTTCCAGAGCTTACTACCGAGAGTGCTCACTGCTATACACGGGATGTACTGTTCGAGCACTGCTTCTGATCGAATGAGTCCATCAACTCTATGGCAAAATTATAATACTCTTAGACTTATCATCTATATCCTTCTTCGGTACTGGCGTCGGAGCCGCTACCACTGCAACATTCAACTCATTTAATATATGCACTATCTGCCATACCCCTGTTGATTCACGCACACAGAATGTCGGTAATATACGTGTGGACTTCTTATTCCTCACATCACTCGCTGCTAAGATACTGAAAAATGACGTGTCGATCTCAATAAATGGCCCACGGGGCAGTGATCACTGCCCCATTACAAAATATGCCGATCCTTGTTTCAGATCGATCTCGTGACAAGTGCTATTATTCTTAAACATCTCACACGTCACAAAGTTAAAGAGCTCATCCTTGTATCCGATCGATGTCTCATAGAAAGTGTTTGAAGTAAGCGGCTCCCAGGTTGACTTATCCATACGAGTCGTCTCGTCGTTGAAACGTTGTCTCATCATCGAGCATCTAAGAAACATTTAGCTTAGTGCGTACCACTTCCGATCGAATATCGTTGACATTATCGTCTTTCTCGACGAGTACGCCGATCAGCTTGACTTTGCCACTATCCAGGTATCTCAAGATCCGGTTAGGTTTCAGCGTTGTAGCGGTTGAAATTGGGTGGTCCCCGAAGACAAATCGGAGGCGCACTCGAATCAATCTATTTCGTGAAGTGGTTTTTCTAAAACAGAAATGACAAACGAATCACCCAAAATAGGGCTCTCTGGCCTTAGCTGCGGATTTATTATACGCGTGTGTGTGTGTGCAAACCATGTGCGGACTTGTAATTAACCACGATACAGACCTTCGCGGCCCTGTAATTGAAAACGGTAAAGATGCTGCTGTTTAGAAATGTATAGAAATCGAATTTATAACAAGTCCCTTAATCAGCGTGAAGTGGGACAAACCGTTGCACGGTTTCTTGATTGGGATCAGTAAGCGGTTGGTCGGTATGCTTCCGACCACACGACTCTTTCGACTTGCACGAAGACACGCTGGTCTTGGCGTCAGGAACCCACAGTCACGAGGTATCCATGCGTCGATAGCAACCCCCGCTCGTCGAAATCGAAGGAGTTCACCACACTCGTCATCATCACTTAAGGCATCGGCCGTCCTTCCCGACAATGAGGTGCTGTAAATTACAGCAAATGAGCATACGTGGATTCATGTGTGGCAGGCGTTGACACTGACGTTCGTTTGGGCTCTGACAGGTCGAAGACAACGACTTTGTCAAGTGGTTTGAAGAGGTGCAGCAGCAGTATCCAAAGGAGAAGACCCAGTCTGAGGACGAGGATGACACGTTGAGTTCGATGGAGATGTACGAAGACGAGGAAGACGGGCACGACGAGGGCGAAGATCCTGATGAGGAAACGGAGAAGTTCCTGGATGAAGCAGAAGATTTGTTTCGTCTGAGCCCGGCCGAGTTTCAGAAACGTATGGCCACGTTTGACCAACGGGACGCCCACGAAAGTGACTTTGACGAGGACGACGACGACGACGAGGACGACGACGAGGACGACGACGAGGACGACGACGACACGGACGGAATCGACCGTGCCACGGAACGAATTCCGAAGAAGCGGTTGCTGAAATTGCTGGAAGAGCTCAACCCAAGCCGTGACTCCTCAGGCAAGAACAAGGAGCGGATGCCGAACGCTAGCTTGAGTACGTTCACGTAAAGTGGGACGAAGCAACTCTTGAGCTGCTTCGGTGATGACTTGTTCGTATTCACGACACGTTTTGCTCTATGCTGCTTAATTAGAGATCAAGAACGCGTCTCCTCTTCAGAAAAAGCCAAAAGCACCCAAGGCGGACCGTGTGACGTATCGTCAGGAGAGCGTGGGCATCGCCGTGCTGGAATTCGTGCAGAACCTGCTCGTTGAGGATGCCGATGTTTCTGGTGTCGACATCGTGCCGACTATTGTCGAGGTGAGCTGCAGGATATTGGTCTCTGCTAATTGAGCGCATGCAATGCGACGGACTGATCGGATGACAATCTATTTGCTGTGCACTTCCAGGCAAGCGTATCGCCTGACCTCCGCCGGGTGGTGCTTTTCTGGGAGCCCGTACGCTGGAACTCGGAGAATCAAACGATTGGCAAACGGAAAGTCGAGGCGGTAAAGAATCGCCTTCAGCGCCTGGAGCGCTGGGTTCGCCGCAGCGTCACTCAGCACCTGAATCTGAAGGTATACCGAGAACGTGCATCGTTTTCAATGTGGCTGCTGTACTAATTTGCACTTGTTGCTTCGAAAGTACTCACCTGTCGTCCAGTTCAAGCAGCAGAAGGAGGCAAAGGATGAACAAGCTCAAACGCTGTTTGAGGACGAAATGAAATGGCTGGACAGGGTGTAAACGTCACCAGTAGAGGAACTCGTCACAAACCTGAACGCTGTGTTTTGTCATAAGTACCACTCGTCACGTGAACTCCACGTAGACTACACAGATCGGTGGAGTTGTTGCAGCCTTATTTCAGCACCAGTTCGTAAATGTCCGAGCGCGACTGGTTCGAGGTCGGAATATTGCGACGCATCTCCTCGACATTCTCCAAATCCACGTCAGCATACACGATGGCCTCCTCGTGGCCGCAAGTGGCCACGACTTCACCCCATGGAGAAACGACCGTGGAGTGGCCCCACGCCTGGTAGCCGCCTTCTGGACCCCGCGCAGGCGATGTCGACGCCACATACAGCTGGTTGTCCACAGCACGAGCGCGCTGCAAGAGCTCCCAATGTGCTGGGCCTGTGGTGAGGTTGAAAGCACCTGGGAAGAGCAGCACTTTCGCGCCATGTTTCTTCATCAGCATCGAGAGTTCTGGGAAGCGAATGTCGTAGCAGATCCCCACGCCCATCTTGCCGTAGGGCGTGTCAAAGAGCGTCAACGTGTTGCCAGGCGCGAGCGTGTCGGACTCCTTGAACGTGATCTTTCCCGGCACATCAATGTCAAACAGGTGCACTTTGCGGTGCTTCCCCACGATCTCTCCCTCAGGTGAAAAGACGACACTCGTGTTGTACACCTGCTGCCTCGCGTCCTTCTCGGGGATCGAGCCACCGACGAGATAGATCCCGAGCTTGGCCGCGAGGTGCGACAAAGCGAACGTCGACGGATGGTCCGTCTCGTTCAGCAGCGTCTTCGTCGACGGAATCTCCTCCGCGTACTGCGGAAACGACGTGGTCGCGTACGGCGAGTTCCAACACTCGGGCAGCGAGACCACCTGCGCGGCGTTCTCGGCGGCCTCCGTCACGGCCGCCACAGCCTTTGCAATGTTCTGGCGCTTGTCGTCGCCCACGGCGATCTGACAGAGCGCGAGCTTAAACGTGGGCGCTGCTGTCGTGCTCATGAGGCCGAACGGACGCGACGCAGAGGGCAGCGGCCACGGACGGCCGACTCGCAATTGAATGGTGCGGGGAAGATGCATATATGCGTTGTGAGGGTGCGGCAGCCGATATGCGCGATGAGAGTTTAACGTTGCATTATGTGTTGTGGGGGTGCGCGGCAGCCGATATGCGCGATGAGAGTTCAACGCCGCATTATGTGTTGTGGGGGTGCGAGTTGTTGCAACGGGACTTGGGCGGTCACGCGGATCCTGGATTAGGACCACAAATTGCCTTGTCTAGGACACCTTTTTGTCTCGATTCGGACTGTGTGCGCGACTTGAACCGCGTCAGAGCTTCGCCCCGACACATGCGGGTGGGTACTCCTACTGTCTGCTTCCTGCACCATTGCCTGACAAATGAGTGCTGTGCAATACCGTGTGTGTGTACCCGCAGGTGGCTCGCCTGCTGTCTCGAAGTGCTATGCAGCGCACGCTGCGCCAGCACCGGTGCTACCGAGGCCCGGCTTCGCCTGTAGGCGACCAGGACAAGTCGAGCTTTGTTACGTTGCTGGGACTGGCTGGAGTCAGTGGGTCTGTGTGCTATAATGTTGTTGGCTGGTGGATCCATTTCTGCTGTGCAGCAGAGGCAATGGATAGCGATTCTGATGGCTGTGCTTGTTGCTGTTCTTGTTGTTGTTGCTGTTGTTATTGTTGCTGTTGTTGTTGTTGCTGTTGTTGTTGTGGACAGAGGTGTCGCGTACGCATACTATGACCCGGATGTGCTGCCGGAGAGGGTGAAGAAGTGGCTGCTGATCCAGGAGCCTGAGGGTCGTGGCATGAGTCCCGAAGAGTACGAGCGCTGGCGGGCCAAGCAGTCGGGGTTCCCGATAGCCGGCACGCTGATCGAAACGAAGAAAGAAGGGGCCGAGCCGGCGCACTCCAAGGACGAGGAGAACGTCGAGCCACCCGGCATGGATGGTCCGTTCGACGGCTGTACAGCTAACAAATTTCGATGATGCACGGCCGAATTTGGAGGATGCATGCATGTCTAATTGATGTGTAAATTGTGCTCGATCAGTCGGTCTTCCTGTTCCGCACCGAGACGTATCTCCGGATGAGATGAAGGCATCGCTTGGGAAGCTACTGGCTGAAGCAAGAATGAACGAGGCCGCGTTTCTCGCCGACATTCAATCAAATAGGATCCCGATGTCCGCGGAAGATCGCCAAATGGTAAGCTGCGATTCAGTGGAATATGTGTGAACGATGGTGCATCTGATTGTACGTTCAACGCAGCTGCAAGCATTCAAGGATGAAAAAGCACGACTCAAGAAGCAGCTGAAATTCCTGAAGTCCGCCAAGTAAGACAAGCAGGTTGTTCATACGTTTCCGGGATGCAGTACGTCTTTGACGGCAGGAATGAGGGACTTGGACAAGAAAGACAGTCGTTTTTGAATCACATCCAGTCTACTGAACAGCTACTCTATCTTAGCCTTGCTGCTCTGCGTTCCAAAAGATTCGGTAGTCCACTGCCAGTACGTCAAATACGCATGTATCAGCAGGAAATGACCACAGGAATAGGCAGCAAAAACGTAGTCGTGGATGTGCGGGTATGTAGCCGGTGGATCGATGCACACTTGCGCAGCGTGGATAGCTACAATTCCGAGCAGCGAAACCTACGTCATGCAAGCGCAGTTAGGCACATCGACTACGCAAACGCAATAACAACACAAGGCTCTGTACCGTGACGTAAGCCCGGAACAACGGATGAACTGTGCCATCCGGGCGATTGCCTGGTGCGAGCTCGGTTTGGTGCACGCTTAGGGACTGGACAGCACCCGATGTAAGGAACGGCGCAACCGCTGTACCCGCGTAAGCCAGCATTAGCACGATGTATGGAAGTACTAAGCCATCTTTCTTCAGCAGAAAATACATGCTGCCCCATAAATCAACAAGAACCATTAGTACACGTCAATATACCCACACCTTGCCTCCTATCGCACATACCTGAAAGTCGACAATACGCTAAACCACCCAGAGAGTAGTGCGTTGTAAGCAAAAAGAAATGAGATTGGCAGCAGCGGCAGCAAAATCGTCTTTTCGTGGACTACACAAGCAGCACACGACAAAGCGGGATCAGTGTACACGCAACGAAGAGCACGCATACGATGCACCAGCATACCTTGGAACGAAAACAAGAAGAACGAGAGCGAGCAGACAGCGAGTGACAGAATGAACCGCAGATTCGTTGGCTTTCGTCGAAGCAGGTCAATCACTGACGGAAGAAACCCAACTATTGTCATGATCGTGCTGCTCGTGGACATTCGAGCTTCGTCAGTGGTCTGAACTTCGACACGGATACCATAGCACGCAGCTTACCATAATCGCATCTGAAGTAGAGGGGCCACACGTCGTCGAATCTTGAAAACAAAGTCAGCAATGCACCAAAAATTGGCGACTTTGTCTTCGAAAAGGCCTCGCCCGAACGGGAATATGCGATGGACAACTGTGTGGCCGCCAATTTGTTGTTAGTTCCAACGGTACCGTACGACCAACACGTCACACCCGAACCATGCATACCTTGTGCCATTGAGGACATGCACGTCTCCTTCTCCGATGGGTAAGCGCAAAACGGAAACCAAATCAGCGCAAACGTTGCAATAACTGCAAGCGCGAGCTTGCCAAGATGGAGGATGCACATCTTCCGATATAGGCAGCGAGACAGCAAGAACACGCCAAACGCAGGGGCGTAGTAAAGCGCCATTTGCTTGAAGTTGAGCGCCAGACAGTAGCAAATACTACCGAGCACTTCATGTCCTTGCAGAACAAGCGCAACGCCCAAGGCCGTAAAGCCCAGGCACACATTGTTGTACTGTACTTGCATCAAAAGACGAAACAACAGTAGCATTAGGTACGGACGTATCGAGCATCTCACACACCCGTTCGTGGTGACTGTGCGTATACCTGAAAATGGCCGTGATCAATGAGCAGCACTGCCGGCTGCAGCAAAACCATCAGACAAAACGTTGTGCGCAGTGTCCATTTGCCGCTACCATACACCACTCGTGCCATGCAGTAGATGGCTGGCATGAAGAGAACAACGTCGCAGAGCAGCACAGACGTGCGCATAAACACTTTACTGGTCGGCGACTCGTACCCCCTCGAGCGCGTTAGCGTCACCATTGACGGCTCAATGATGGTGGCCACGTAGCCAAACCCGTACGAGACGTAGGCCGTCAACGGCGGATAGTCCAGTCCCCAGTACAGCAGATCGTTCGAGGTGGTGTGACAGTACCAATCGGAAATGGGTACATTGGTCGTGATCTCCATCCAGTGACGTTGCGCCTCGTAGTCGCCAAACATGGGCGCTACGTGCTCGCCTGAGTACGAGTGCAGCCCCACTAGCCATCGCACGAGCACCAGAGAGAGCCACACGAGCCACGAGCCAGCCCTCGTCTCGTTATTCTGCTCGAGATACTGCACGCTTCGCTGAAGCAGTGGCGCTTGTTTGGTTGCGACCATGAAAACTAAATGTGTATACCTGCAGAGGATACGTATAGTAACTGGATGCGTGCGACGGCGTCGATTTTCGTACAAGGGCTCCAAGTGATGACGAGGCGATCGCGCGACTTCAGTCACGTGAGGAGTGTGGTCGATTTTCTAGGCATTCCAGATCATGGATGTTTTAGATCATGGACGTTCCTTTGCTGATCACATCTCGCTCGATCGTCATTTCGCTCAAGAGCGATCCACGTCTATGGCGATCAAATCCGCGTCATAACGAGGACTCGATGTTTGTGAACTAATTGTCATAAGAGTGCCGAGCAAAAAAGAGGTGCGGCTCTGATACTGAAGTCGTGCGATTTTCGGTGCGCGGCGGGTCTCTCATATGATAACCTATCGAAACTGCAGCCGATCGATACAGAAAACACGCACCTGCTCTTCTCAAGCCACTTGACCTTCCAAGCCATCACCATTCGATCTCTCGACGTTGCTTGCTTCGCGTCGAGAGGCGTGGACTGCATCGCAGAGATGAACGCCAGCGATGAACCCGAACAGCATCTTCAGCAAATAAATGACCGAGGCACTTATATCCGGTCTGCTGGTTGTAAATAATGTCGATTCGTCAAATCGAAGACATCTTTCTCGGACGCGATGGCAAGAAGTGTTTTGTGGTCGATTGCCTCCATCACGCTCGAATAAATGCTCTCAAAGCAAGTGTTGTGAAGGTCACGCAGTGATCTCTTCAGCAGGTCCGCAAAAAACGCTACCACAAACTCTTCGGATCCTGTGAAATACAGCAGCGCAAACCAGCTTTTCGGCGGGCAGTACACTTTCAAGTCCAGTAGAATCAAGCTGCTCTTAAATGAAAGGATGCAGGCCGCACGAGTGCTTGTAAGCTGGTGGATCGTCCCTGCTTGGATCACACGTGCTGTTGTCAAAGCTGCAACTACAGCCGCAAGCATCCGTCCATCATTGTGCGTACTTGGATCCGGCGAATCGTTGCTTGGAGATGGCATGGCAACTAGCACATCGAGAACGGACACAAACGCGGCGCCGCGAGAAAAGGATCCACACGGAAACACCTGTACATTTTCGTTCCACTTTTTCAGGTGAATCAGGATGGCACGAAACGCCGTTTTTGCGTCTTGCTGATCGATCACGGGTCGTCGAACTGTTGGCGCAGAACCAAGCGAAGGTGTAGCATCCGTGCATTGTAAATACCGTATACCAACGCGCAAGTGTTCAATGCACGAAAGATCGTGCGCGGCTGCTTGGAGCTGGCTGTCCGAAATGCTAGAAAGATCGGCACGAACGCCATCACGTTGATCCACTAGTCGTAGTGCCTGATTGGGTTTCATCCCAAAGATGTGCAGCGCAGCACGCACGCGGTCCCACGTGGAAGCTGCGTGCGAAACTTCACGCTCGCGCGCATCGCTCAAGCACAGCTGTGGTTCATGAAGATACATGTGCTTGTACCTGCCCCAGTAACGAGCGATTATACACCAGACGTCGTGCGCAACTCCAGGTATAGCCATCTTTTTCGCGACACAGTCTTCCACAACCACATCTCTAGCCGATAGCGCCACGTCCAGTACGCCTTCTTCCCACGTCGCAGCCAAAACTCTCCGAGCTAGTTTACACGCTTGTACCCGCCAGCGCTGTTGGTCTTGCCAAGCATTATAAGCAACAAACTCATCTAGTGCTTGTAGACAGAACAGTAGCATTGGTCGACGAATCTCTTTTGCATGAACCTCGCAGCTTTTCGTACCGCCTCGCAGCCAGCACGGTGTAAGCTCACACATTCGGTCAGCATCATAGTAATCCACGAGCTCCAGACGCTTCCTAGCTGAAGGTTTGTCTGACCCGAGTCGTACGTTGGCCAGAATCGTCACTGGTAACACTTCCTCTTGTGTTCCATCGTGACCAGAACCTCTGCACTTGTTTTCCAGCGGTAGTTCGGGACGCAAGCGCTGCTCCAACAATTTTTCACTGCTTCCAGTACTGTTGTTCCCGGGCAAGAAGAGCGAGCTGTCCGCCATAGTGTCATGACGCGGCCACTGTTCACTCGCTCCACAACTACTGATCGCACTGGGGTTCGTACACGGCGCACCGAATTGAACAGACTCAAACGAGTCGCTGGTGAGCGCGTGAGGCGGAACAACGTGCGCTGGCGTCGCTTCTGAGCGAGAACACGCACTGTGGTTCACGCGGTCTTCAGTAGGCAGCTCGGGACCAAAGAAAGCCGAACGCAGTGGCCGAATAGCTGGCGGTGTCTCGTCCAGCAGTCGCGCTAGATCCGTAAAGAACCTGCGCTTCCGTTGAGGGTGCATTGCCTGTCGCGTCGCTTCCATAGACGACAGACAGCGTGAGTGAATGACGGCGTGACTTGTTCATGAGCTGCTTTTGTCCAGACTTATCCGAAATGTCGATATGATCATAATCGTTTATGCTTCAGGCCGTAAAGGTCCGGCAACCTACTTGCTTTACTCAGGACTCTATGACCAGTCCGAGCTCGCGGCTACCGGCTGATTATTTTATGCGCACATAACTGTCATATGTCCCCCTGCTGTGCTACTTGCATATTGTCGGCATCAGGGCATAGCTCGCACACGTACCAGAACCCGCCTTTGGCCCCCGGTGAAAAGATATGACCGGTGACCAGCCGAACTCGTGCAAAGTTATGAGAAAAAGGGGGTGGCCGGATCATTGTGGCTTTGGGTGTAATAAAGTTATATTGCTGTCGACTGGCTTCGCTCGGTAGAAGCTGCATCAGAAACAATGGGCTCGGCTTGAAACGACCACACGTTACCAAATGACCTGTTGATACCAGCGATCCATGCAACCAGTAGACAGTACAGAATGCAAAGACGAGCAAATTGGCTGTCCTTTATGTACTCTGATTGACCCATCGATGCAATGTCTGCGAGTTGCACAGTCGATCGTGTCAACGTGCAATGAGAACAGTTGACTCATATTGTGCTGTTCCACAGCTGTCGTTCGTTTTGGACGTACAAGTCCTGCTGTCCGACCATACAGCCCTTGTAGAAATTCTGGCTGAATGCCGTCCGTATAAGTACAATCCGGAACTCTGAGCGTGTGCACGACAATTATCTCACATTATCAGCTGTATCTGGAACCTCCGCTCGTGAGGCCGACTGACTGTCACCATCAACATTTACACACTTTGCCTTCCAATATGCCAACAGCCAGAGCTGTTGAGTTTAGTGGTGGTCAGTTCTACTGCCACGACGGTGAGAGTCTTCTCGTTCCCGCCACGGCTAATGCGACCACCCAAACTAAGTTTTCTTGTTTCCGTGTCACGTCAAGCTGCGAATTCTTACTTCCACCATACTCGTCAAGACCTGTGCTAGGCGAAGAGTTTCTTTTCTTCTTGGCAATATACCCTTCTCGTGTTAGTGTTATCGTTTTAGTCGACCGACAAAGCACCAGCCGAATGGAAGCAAAAGTACACGTGCTTTTGTGTGCCGCCATTCAGCTAGTGCTTTGAGGTCATGTAGTGCACGCAGAAAGCTACTGCGTATCCTATGTATGCATACCATGCGATTCCTCGTTCACAGCGTCACATTCTTCGAATACAAAGAACGGACTTGATGTCCAAAGGGCTATCTGTTTTGCACGGACCCCTTCACCAGCTCATGTATCGGTACATATAACCTTTGGGATTGACGTCGCTATACATGCCACTTTCGGCGCTGTCACCATTCGTGACAACTGTATCAACTTCAGTTTTATGTCGGCATGTGTAGCCCCGTGTATAACGACTGTGGACTGCCCATTGTCAATCGAGCGGGTTATCACAGGGGTACGGCGCGACACGAGCCGGAGCTGAGACCGATCCGAGTGGAACGACGCTACGGGCCGCCACGCACTCGACATCAAGTTCTTTTAAATATGATGTAGGCACAGAAGAGGATCGCCGGGCCGTGTGTCACCTATTCAACCTTTTGGTCGATTTCCCTGTCATTCGTTCCCCCACCCCTTGTAGGATTGCGCTCGTGTGAAACGCAACTACACAATCTGAGACCTGTGGTAGTTTATGGCACCCAGGCTGTTATGTAATGGGATGAGCGTTACACATGTCATTGACACCAAAAACAGGGTCGACGAGAATATTACCGTAGTCGACAATGTTCACCAATAGTTATCTTGCTTAGTAGATACGGATGGAATATTACTCCCGTCGAACGCCATATTCGGTACTGCTCCACTTATTGGTAGATATCGGCCATTCTATCACTCAACTGAACCACCAACCAATCGCTGCTGCAGTAGATGCGCGCATTGGGTGGCGAGGACGTAGCTAGCTATCTCAGGAACATGTGCTTTGAAGCGGTAAAGTGAGTCCAAGATATGCTGTTAGGTAATCTGAACTAACGATCAAACACAGCTTTACTTTCTCTCCTACTTAGCGTTTACGTTTAGTAGACTTACCTTCCTCAGCACGCACAGTGTACATGAAGTTTTGGGGGCAGCTGCCTGCACTGTGGTCGGTGTAGGTAGCTTGCACTGTATCAATACAATCATCAGGGCTCCGTTACACGAGGGTGAAAGCGTGTGAGCCATTATGTACCAATTGAGTCTACAAGCGTAGTGCAAACACTCAATCGGGTGCGAGGCGGCCCATACGTGTTCTAAAGCCGGCTATTACATGATCATACGTCATGGAAGCGTACAAGTCGTGAAGCTTGAGCTATAAAGCCTAGGATCGATTGATCGAGTACAGTGAAAGCTTTCAACACGAGTTCTTCTTTTACGGCTTCCATCGTATAAGTTATCTACTTTCAAGTAATCTGACTCGATGCAGACGCGCCGACGTGGCAAACGCATCATCATTCTGCTTTCCTCGATACAAATATGCCGAGACCCTTGCTGCCTTTACAAAATTGACTCCTGGGCACTTATAAGGCTGAGACCCGGCTGCCTTCATAAATTCGACTGTTTGGCACTGGTCTCGCTTCGCAGCTTAGCAACTGAAACCTCAGTCTGACCATAAGCCTTTCTTTTTGACTAAATCGTCAAGTTGAAGTTGTAAGATCTTGACAATAGTTGCATGGAGCTCATCTCCCGAAACAGTCTACCCATGGCTTCGACGGTGGTATTGGCGATGGATTCGGTTACTTCCTGAAGTGCGTGTCATTCGAGGCAATGCAAACGTCAGTAGTCTTATCGCGTGGCGTGACCACGCTTCGAATCCGCCAGCTTGACGGCCGATGTATTTACGTCGATCAAATAACCACGACACATATCGGGTGTAACGTATCACGTTCCACTCACACCGCCTGCAGTGAAAACAGCCTGCCTGCAACAACGTTGACAGGTGTGCCAGTTACCTCACGTCCCTATATCTTCGGGTAGAAAGGAATTCATCCGAATTAACCACACTTTATTTTTACGGGAAAAAGGACTATGTTGAGCGTTGTAAATGTCTTGTACGAGTCACTTCTATCCCTCCTGCAAACGCATGTACGTACAAACACATGTCATGCTTGCAGTGCGCTCATCTTGCGCACCGCCTCTTGAATAATGAGTGCATATCAATGCCAAGTCGGGCTCATGAGTCGAGTGTCGTAAGTTGCGTGATTACTATCAACACCTAAGAAGTACGCACATTGACATGATACGAATACCGACGTCACGTAGTGAGCTCACCCGGCAAAATATTAGCAGACAGAAGAAAGGAACACAGCAATGCATTCTTGACGTATTCCAAGTTAATTTGTGAAAACCTTCAGTGCTAGCGAATCGGAGCAAGAAAAACAGGATGCCCTCCCTTGACATCTGTTCACGTTCGTCAGCACCGAACTCTATGGTTCAGTGGCTCATAGTGCTGGATGGTTCCACTCCAGTGCAAAATCACGACGCAATAGTGCCAATTGTGCCCCAGGTATAAGCCGACTGACACGGAAGCGACGGCCTCTGCACGATCATCATCCACTACAATGCATAGACAATGGAGCTTATCATTTGTTCATTTGCCGTTGTTTTCGAAACTGCACCGCGTCTGAATCGAGAGTAACAATGTCTTTGTATCCATTGCCTTATGCCACCGTCATTTACAGAGGTCACTCGGCTGTAATCCTGGGTGTACCTATGGCATGGAGCGTTGAGCTGGAATGTTATGGGTGGTAGTGCTCGCTGGGCGTGAATCCGATCGAAACATTGCCTCATCAACGGCTCCTGTTCACATTCAACGAGAGAACCTTTTCGTTCAGTGAAGAAAGATGGTGTCTCGGTCTGTGGACTAGTTCCAAGTAGCAACAACACGATCTGTAATCCTTCTTCACATTTCCGCAATACTACTAACATCATCGGCCACGACAACGCGACTACGCATGACACCGCTCACGTTTACGTGTACGACAATATTCCACGCGTAAAGAAAACGTATAGTCACACTCTTCTATTAGATGTAGTCAGACTCTTCCATATCGTTGCTGGCGGAGTAGTTTTCAGCATAAAAGGGTGATCAAAGCCTGAGCTGTCGCCTTCCCGACCCCTTGCTTGTAAACTCACCGCTTGCTCACACGCCATGCTTCTTCGGATTCGGTAACATGAGCAAGTAAGTAAGTATGCGAGTCTGCGCTTCGAAGGGAATGTCGTGGATGAGCTGGTGCGTGCGGCTCCAAATGGCTGCCACACGAAGTCCATGTAGAGCACATAGCGTCGAACAGTTGACCCTCTAGCCGAAATATGCGAAACTCAATCAATCTCTCTCTCATCTCTGCCTACTTTTTTGTGAGTTAAATGAAGTCGAAGTGTCGCAAACCATTATGCGCTGAGATTAACAGCTCACATTTGCACGATCTGGAACACCATCGAGCACATTGCATCACTAGCGACCAACGGCTCCTCCGTAAGCCTACAGAACCGTCGCTAAAAGTCGTCGACAAACTTGCCAGGCCCGGAACGCACAACCACAGGAGAAAGTGGCTGTTGTAAGCCAGTGGATTCTGACTAGCATGCTGTAACTATTTCAGCCAATCAACGAGTGGGTTTCTCGTGCGACAAGGCTGTCCGTGCGTTTACACTATCGACGGAGAAATGCTTGTGTTCTTTTTTTAGTGCTGCTCTAAGTATACCGTGTGCTGAGCTAATAAATAATTGCAGACGAAGCCATCGACAATCGTGAGTCATGTCCACAAAAGTGCGACAATCGCTGTGGTCGCCCCAGACGGCGCGAGATGACCGGTTGGCTTCCGGACACGCACTGTACGAGGCACAGCGAGTGGAGGCGGCGCGAGGGGTTGGCCTTGCTGAGCTTGAAGCAAAGGTATCTGAGTCACCCCTAGCCGCAGACGGCTCTGCCGTTTTGTTGTCCGCCTTGGCAGCAGCTGTAAAGGCTGATGGCCGTGAGCATAGTGAGTGCAAGTGAGGGGGCGGGAAGAGACGCTGACAACTTGACTGCGTTGTCGCGCGAGTGGCTGTTCTGCAAGTCTGAGTCGCACGACGACTATTACAAACGATGCGGCGGCCTGGCCCCTGTGAAAGTCGATTCGCCTTGGGCCCGCGACCGGACGCTCGACAGTCAAGAGCCGCGCGGGCACGGGCCGTAGACATGTCAAATCTCGTGTCCCTGTCATAGTGCATACTCGAGAACGTCGCAAAGATATCGTACGTCGCAAGTCCGACGGAAGGGGTGGGGCAGGGCAAATCTGTCCGGTCAGCAGGGCGTGTCTTGCGCTGGGAGAATTCTTGGGCAGTCCAAGTCTATCACTCACTTGTCACGCGTAAAGGCCGAGGAGGTACACTCCCACTCCCACTCCCACACAGACAGACAGACCAACAGACAGACCAACAGACAGACAGACAGACAGACAGACAGACCACTAAACAAACAAACAGTCAGTCAGTCAGTCAAACAGACAAACAAACAAACAGACAGACAGTCAAACAGTCAAACCGACAGTCAAACAGACAGTCAAACAGACAGATAGACAGACATCTGCATTGACGCCGGCAGTGCCTACGCAGTGTTCACGGCCCAAGCGCGCGCCCTCCCCACAAGTTGAAGCGCCAAGTTGGAGGACGAGACGAAGAGAAGGAAGAAACGAGTGCGTGAGTCTCGCAGCAGCAGCAGTGGCAACAGTGGCAGCAGTGGCAGTGGCAGTGGCAGTGTACGACGCACGCACACGAGGACCGCTTTCCGGCCACACAGGAGGACGTCGTTCGTTCCCTCGCGCGCTCTCCCCACCAACATGATGACGACCCAGCAGCAGAGCGCCGATCAAGTCAAGTCGTACGCGTATCCGCTCGGACCACCTTCGGTCGACATTCCCCACACGGCCGCCTCTGTCGCTCCCTGTAAGTCCGAGCCGACTGCTGTCTTATCGGACGCACGCGCAGGCGCGACGGGTGGCAGCAGTACGGACAGTAGCAGCAGCACAACGGCGCTACCAGACCGGAAGCGCAAAGAGCCGGCGAGTCCCAGCGATCGGTTTGACGCCGATGGACGCGCAGAAGCGGTGGACAAGCAGCAGCAGCTGCAGCCGTCCAAGAAGTCGCGTCGGGAGCTGCCGCCGCACACTGTTGCGATCCTCAAGGGCTGGATGCTCTCTCGCGAGCACGTGAAGCACCCGTACCCGACGGACGAGGTACTGCAGGCAGACTGCTCGTGGCGTTGTGCTGACGTGACGGAGACGTGGTCTGATGCTGACTTGATTGGTTGTGCTCGTTCGTTTTTGCGTGCTTTGGTGTTGCTAGGACAAGCAAGTGCTGCTGAAAAAGACGGGCATCAGCATGAAGCAGCTCACGAACTGGTTTACGAACGCACGGAAACGCATTTGGAAGCCTATGATGCGGCGTGAACATTCCCGCCAGATGCAGTCGGCGATCGACTTTGACCACACGGCAGTGCGCGAGTTCCCTGGCTCGGGACTTTGTCAGCAGTACGCACAGAGCAGCTATGCTCCTCGCTCGGCGGTGCGGCACTCGTTTGACGTGGGAAGCTTGGGTGCACCTCCTCACATGGCAGCTGCAGCTGCATTTGACCGGTGCGCGCGACCGCAAGCTATCCCGGTGGATGCACCCATGTACCCGATACGCGCAATGCGTTCTATGTCGGAGGCGCCAACAAGGACCGAGGTTGATGGCTATGTCGAGCCTGAACGGATCCGAGAGCGAGAATTGGAGCGCGGCCGTGTTGGCTGTGCACCTCGCAATAGTCTGTCACCGCGCGGGCACAAGATTTTGCAAGAGTGGGTGACTGCAAACGCACAGCGTGAGTACTCGTATCCGAACGACGCGGAGCGATTGCAGCTTGCACGAGATACGGGGCTTGACGTGTTGCAAGTGGACGAGTGGGTGACGAGTCTTCGTGAGCAAATGGGTATTCGAGGTGCTTCTATTCGGTCTGCTGGACACGCGTTGTTTCCGCTCAAACCTGCCGTGTACGGTGAGCGGCGATCGATTCCGACCAGCGGAAACTCCATGTTTCCGCCACGGCAGACCATTTCCGGCTCGTTGCGATCATCGGTTCCGTCTGTGGGCAACCCGCAGTTCCCTCCGCCTCCAGTGCGTCGAGAGGTTTGCGACAGCCAATTCGCGGCGTTTCCGTCAGCTGCGTCGAATTGTCCAGGCCACGAGACATCGCGAGTGCGTTCCATGACAATCAGCACGAGCCCCTACTTGCTTCCTCCCTCATCGTCCGGCTCTGCGGGCGTCGACACTCAAGGTCAGACTGCCGAAAGCGCTTTGCCTTCGCTTGCCAGTCGGAGTTTGATGGGTCGGCCACCACCTATTGTCACGTGCAATGGCCCCACTATGGGCCAGCCGCGCGACAGCAGATCGCGCACACTCGACATGGGTCAGTTTGCCAATGCGCGCAGGCGAAAGATGACCTTCCAGGACATTTTGGCGTCGTCGAGCGGGCCTGCCGCTGGTGCCGTGCCGGCGGCTGCCACGTCTAGTGCTTTACCGCAGACGACCAGTGTTGTTGTTGCGAGCATCCACAATATGGCAAACGTCTACCCGAACAACGGTGTGCCGTCGATCACAGCGTACCCAGGCGCCGCATCCAGTGGGTTCCAGCCGAAGCATCCGTCGTCGTCGTCGAGCGAGCAGCAGTCTGGTCGTCGTATAGTATGATGCTGCACTGATTGTGTGAGTCCGAGCGTGCGTTCTCTTTGCCCATTTCGTGGTTGTTGCGTTCTCAACTTTAAGCACCTCAGTCAATAGAACTCTGTTTGTCTACGCTCAGTCCTTCCAAATCCGCCCACAAGTCAGAGGCGCACTCTTCCTGCAAAGCCTCCAGCAACTTGTGCTTGATCCGGAAGTAGACTTGGTACCGGATGTCCGGCGAGAAGTTGAGACCCCCTCGATGGGCGAGATCGGGGTGGGCCAGCACCAAATCACCCCGTGCAGCAAGGAGTTGTACTGGTGTGCCCAAATCGGGCAGCGTGCCGTCTCCCCACACATTGTCTGCTTTGTAGCACGCACCGTCATGATCATCGAGCTTGCCGTTGCCAGCAAGACGGTCGTGGAGGAGCGCGTGCGATCCCGAAAAGACAGTAAAGTTCCCACAGAGCGGCTCTGCAACGTTGGACAATGCAACACCCGCCAGTAAACTGAACGGGTGGCGCCGGCCCTGCCGCAAGCCATCCGTATGCCACTCTGTGCCCAGCGGTTCTCGCGGCTCGCCGAGGTCGGGAAACCGCAACGCAATCTGTGCTCCTTGAGGAGCCACCACTTGGCCAGCGCCCACAAGAGCTTCCACGTACTTGCAGACATCCGAGAGGTAGTAGAGATCCAGAATCGCCCCGCTGTTGGACGTGTTCCCAGCCAGCTTGACGCTACCTTCGACCCCACCGTCAATGAGCCGTCGAGGGAGACCAAGATCATGGTTTATGCGCTGCAATGCTGCGTTGACCAAAGGCAGTGCAACAGCGCCCCGGATCTGGAGGTACCCATTTTCCATGAACGAGCGTCGCTGGGATTCGCGCAGTATCGACACGTGCGTCGACGAGAATGCGACCAACGAGCGCGTAGTGTCCATGACAAAAGCTGCGCGAGTGGATACGACTGTGACGTGGAACACACTGTCGCGTCCTCTACCTGCGTCTCCGATCAGTCCCATCTTTGTCGCCCCCAAGTACCACCCCATCGACTGCGAGGAGGAGCGACTGACTTTCTTCTGATGCGCGAGCGCTTTGAAATGAACGACAACGACGTCGTTAGCGCGTCCGTTTGAGTCTCGATCGGCTTCAAGTTCCACTTGGAACATAGCGAACTTGGCAGCCGCTGGCGACCAGCTCACCTGACCAGTCAGAGCCACTTTCAGCTTCTCGTACGGCCTCTCCGTGCTGCATAGACACAGTATTAGCGATTGAGAGGACTTGTCGCGGTCCACGAGCGCTCGGAACGAGTAGCCACTTGACACGTGCGTACTCTGAATGACCGCTCCGGTCTCGATCGCCATCGACAGTGTGTGTGTGTGTGCGTGTGAGGAGCTCAGGAAGAGACGCAGCGGGTGCGTGTGGACTGGTGAAGCGGTGCTGTCCCCACAATATGTGAAATTGCACAGAAGATTGACAAGTGATACATTTGCTACAAGATGGACCGATAAAAATGTACGGCTACCACGAGACCAGGCGTAAAAATGTACGGAGAGTCGATATTGCACGCACGAATCGACTCAGACGTTACTGATGACGCCTCACGGAGAAATGCTGATTCTGTCGTTGATGTCCAAACAAGTACGTCGCCACGTCGCTATGAAGTGTAAAAGCTGAGGCATTACGTGTTCGCTCTACACGGGACCACTGCAGTGCGTAGCAAATCTGCGTCCGGCTGCGACGTGACGGCACAGCATCACAATCAATTTATCGATACTCAGTGGCTGTTTTGGTTCGTACAAAGGCGCCGCATTTACATTTGCAAACCCACACTGGAGTTTCGTACAGTCGACTCCTGACGCCAAATGAACGAAGGAATCCCCTAAACAAACGCACGTTGTACGCACACCGTTTTACATTAGCGGTACACGTCCAAAGGATATTCTCCTTTGCCTCTCGTCGTGCAATACCGCCATTGCAAACATTCCAGCTCGGTGATTGGCACAAAAAGTGGGCCATCGTACCTCCTCACGCAAAGACGACCACTTCAAGATAATGACACTAAGCCGCACCGACGATGCGACTCTGCAGCCGCTTCTTGACCGCTCGGACACCCCTGACGTCCCTCCGCATGACGATACGCTGCACACGACTCGAACGCGAGTCACAGTGAGCTGGAAAGTCGTGCTCGGCGTCGTCGCTGGTTCAATACTGATCGTCCACATTGTGTTTGTCGCACTGCTGCGAAAGACAACAGTGACACTGCACCAGTTGACGCTTCCAGACTTGTGCCATCGTGAATCAGTTGGAGAGCTTGTCATGGCGTTCCAGAATCCGTCGTACTGCTCGCCGATCGTGGGACCACTGGACATGGAATTCGCAACGAAGGACACGGCGTTCTTGCGCGTGCACGTTGCTGCCTTTGAGCTCCAGTCAGGTGTGACAACGGTGGTCTCGCCAGTCCATTTTACGTTATTGACGTCCCCTCAGGTGCTGTATCAACTCGTGCTGGCCAGCAATGGCCACAATGTCCACGTCGAAGGTCGAATTCCCGTCTCGATTTCGTGCATGTTGGTCCCTTTCACGATTCATTTCGACGTGTCAGACCTGCTGCGAGCAAGTTCACAGCCACCTGCTACTGCACTGCTCTTGCCAAAACAGCGACACACTTTGGGTTCACATGTGTACCGCGCTGACACAGCTGCATCGCGCATCGTGAACGAGATCATGGCAGAGCTCCAGCGTGTCGTCAAGCAGGTGGTCCAAACCATTGCTCTCTCCCATTTCCACACGGAGGAAGACGCGCAAGAGATATTCGCGTACACGGACGTGTCGATTGAGTACGCGTCAAGAGTGCTCTGGAATCTCCCGTCGCTATCCATTGAAGTCCAATCGGTCAATGAACAAACCATTCTCGTCGCAGGGTTCAAGCGTTTCCTCTTGGGCAGCGGCCAGACGTTCATTTCTGCCTTCACGGAGGTCTTTAAGAATCAGTCCGAGCCCCTTTTGTCAATGCTGCAGTCCTACTTGTCTGGAAACGACGTCGTGCTTCACGTGCGCGGAGGCAATATCCCTACTCAGTGCTACTCACTGCAAGTGCTCGATCTGGTCAATGTCGAGGTGGACGTTCCCGCCAAGATCGACAGCGAGCCCGCCTTCCTTCGTGCGTACTCGATCACGCCAATGGTCAAGAACATCGATTCCAAGAGCCACATATGTGATCTCGAGTTGACCGTGTCGATCCGGATCAACAACCCGCTGCCCATTCACTTGGCTCTTTACGGCATCGAGCTGGATCTGCTGTACGAGCGAAACGCAACCAGCCACAGCCCCAGCTCCAAGTTCCTGTTGCACGTCAACAACACCACCATGCACGTCGCGTGGCACGCCCACGAAGCCCACACGATTGGCCTGACAACAGCTGTGCACGATTTCGATGCCTGCATTGACGTCGTGACGTTCTATCTCCAGAACCAGCTGACGTTTGACATCCAGCACGGGTCCGCCTCTCTGGGTTCCGACCTCGGAACCTTCAGTATTCCATTCTCGGTCCAAGGCATTCACATTACGCCCAGTGCGCGATCGCCCCAACCACTACCACCATCACTACCATCACCATCACCATCACCATCACCTATTGTCAGTAGTAATCCATCCCAAAGGGTCAAAAAGTAGACGCGTTTTGGCAGCTTGCGGTCGTCCTTTGCCCGACTCCCTTCGTGCAACATCCCACGCCCACCACCACCGGAGACGCAGACACAATGGGCACCTCGTGCTCGCGCGGCGTGTGCCTCGCCGTGGGCGTCGCGTACCCCGCGTACGCGAGTTTCAAAGCGCTCGAGCGACCTGCGTCCGGCCACGACGCCAAGCAGTGGCTCACGTACTGGATCGTCTATGGCGCCACGACGTCCGTCGAAGCCGTCGCGTCGCCGCTCGTGGGTCTCGTGCCCGGCTACAGTGCGACGAAGACGCTGTTCCTCGTTTGGCTCATGGCCCGGCCGACTCATGTGCGTTCAGCGCCTGTCACGAGCAACGAGTGACTGTACCAGTGTATAGACTGATGAAGGAATTGGCTGATTGGGGGCATGGGCCACTTTAAGGGTTGCGATAGAGTGTGGAGTCAGGAGCTAACTGCGTTGTGGGAATGCTGTGGAATTGTTGTGCGTGTGTGTATGCTGTTGTTGTTGTTGTTGTTGTTGTTGTTGTTGTGCTGTGGTCGTTGTGCTGTGGTCGTTGTGCTGTGGTTGGTAGGGCGCGACAATTGTGTACGACAAGTTTCTGTGTCCTTTTCTGAAGCAGAAAGAGCCGTTCGTGGACGACAAGCTGCAAGAAGCTCAGGAAGCGGCAGAAGGCGCGCTGTCTTCCTTTGTGCGAGCGTGGGGCCAGACGATTACTGATCAAGTCGTCGCGATTCAGAAGAGCGACGAGTTCAAGCAGCTGTGCGCGGCGATCAAAGCGCTGGCGTCGCCGGATTCGACGAAAGAGCGAAGACGGAGAAAGAGTATTGATGAGAGCACACAGTCGACAAACCCAGACGGAGGAAGTGAGTGAGTGAGTGAGTGAATGAATCGATCGATCGTACACGACAAGAGGGTGTGTGTTTGCATGAGTATGCCATTGTGCGTTGGCGGCCTGTTTGACCCCTTACTGGCCCGAAACGGGAGACGCCCCGCAGTCGACGTCTCTTGCAATACCTATTCTACTCGCTCACGTCCAGGTTAATAGTGGTGCACGTACTTGAAGTCCTCCCGCGAGTTGACCTTGTCAATGTACGAGTGTGCCTTGAAGTGCTCGGCTTGGATCAATTCCGCGAGCATGGGGGCAACCGATAGGCGCTTGAGTTTGTTCGTGTGAAACGCCTTCGGGTCGGCAGGAATCGTGTCCATGACGACCACTTGGGACACATTCGAGTCCTCGATCAACCGCTCGGCGTCGCCATTAAGCAGCGGATGCGACGCAAAGCAGTACACCTTTCGAGCGCCTTTACTCAGCGCAAGGTTTGTGAGCTTGGACAGCGTCTCGCTCGTGTCGATCAAGTCGTCTACGACAATCACGTCGGCGCCCTTGACATCGCCGACAATGTCAGCAGGCGACTGCTGCCCCGACTCTTCTTTGCCCGTGCCGTGGAAAAACACGGCAAACTGCGCTGGCGAGTCCGGCAGCCACTTGTTGAGCCCCGTCTGGAAAATACGGGCCCGACGCAGACACTCGGGGTTCGGTGCCATCACCACGAGCGGGCGACGAATGTACACTTGCGTGGCAAAGTACTCGACGCCCGCCATGATTGTTTCAATCGTCTCGACCGGGATGTCCGAGCTGAAGAAACACGCTTCGTGGCCTTCAACGCGCATCTGCATGTCGACCGCAATCACGCGGTCGACCCCCATGACCTCGAGCATCTTGGCAATGTCAGCAGCCGGACTCTGGATAAACTTGGAATTCAAGCTAGTAGCAGCTGGATTTGCTCGACGATGGTGCTTGTACGCATAGTACCTGAACCACCGCCACCACCACCACCAACAAGACCACAAGAGAGCAAGTACACACAGCAGAGACACTGTCACTCGTCTGCCTCCCTCTCCAATCCATTTGTCGAGCGTCAGCTCAGTACGTACGGCAGGACGACCGTCACCTTCTTGGCACTCGCTCGCCGCATGGTACTGACCATCAGCAGGAGCTCAATGATATTGTCGTTCACGGGACTCGCGAGACTCTGCACCAGGTACACGTCTTTGCCGCGCACGCTCTCGCCCACTTGCACCTGCACTTCGCCGTCGGCAAAGCGCCCGAGCGTGATCTTCCCCACGCGCGTGCCCAGGCGCCGCGCAATGTCGTCGGCCAGTTCAAAGTGCGACGAGCCCGAGAAGATCTTGAGCTCGTGGCAGCCGGGAATGAACATGCCGGCGTGCGTACACGGGTGTTTGTCCGAGGGGAAGAACGGCGAGAAGGGGTCCACGCGCTTGCGGTCGGACGGCACGCCGAACTCGAGGTCGCGCAGGTCGCGCTTCTCTTCGGCCCGTGCCGCGGCGTGCGTCAGGCCGAGCGTCGCGCCGGTAGCGAACACGGCGAGCCGCGGCGTCACGCGCGCGACGGCGGCGCGAAAGCCAAAGCCCATGACGACAGGTGCGAGGGACAGAGTGAGTGACTGACTGACTGACTGACTGGACGAGAGGTGGCGGCCAAAAGGTCGAGTCGATGGCAGGTTTTGTAGGATGGGCTGGATTGGGTCTAGGTGGGGGGTTTATAGGTGGAGCCACTGCGCTCGAGGGTTCTGACCAGCGTTTCAAGGTTCGAATGGGCATACGTACAAGTGAGGTAGGGAGGGTGTCCAGGTCTCGACTGGACTTCAGATCGTTGTTCTTTTGCTGCACCTCGAGTGCTACTTGTCTAAACAATCTGAGCCTACTCGTTCTTCTTGGGCAGACTCTGCTCCAGGAGCTCGGCGAGGATCTCGTTCAAGCCGCCAAGGATGCTGCGACCGTCGTCGACAAGACCAGCAGCCACGGTGGCGTTCGTGTAGATCTGGAGCGTTCGTAAACAGAGCGGCACGAGCAGGTTAGTAAAACGATCGGTTTCGAGCAATTTGTTGCAGCGAAACGCACCTGGCAGGCCACCTTCTTGGCCAGCGTATCATTCACTTCACGAAGCGAGTTCAAGTTCACGATGATGCTGTGGTTCGGATTGATCTCCATCACGTTTTTTGACAATCCTCCCACACCCTGTCCCGCGCGGTCATTCACCATCTGCATCATCCTGTAACGACAAATATGATGAGCGTGAACATTGATACATTGTTCATCTTCATCACATCATGACGTACTTGCGAATAGAGGCCGACTCGTGGTCGACGATGATAGCAGGCGAGTTGATGAGACGAGAAGTGAACTGCAATTCACACATACCACGACTTCAGCAATTTGCCAGCCACTGCGTCATACAAAGCGGCAACATACCTTGACTTCCTTCACGCTGTCCTCCAGTGTCAGCTTCAGCCATGCCCCGAAAAGTTGTTGCTCGTCTTCTGACAGCTTCTTTTCGGTGGCATCGTCAGCGTCGCTGCCAACGTCGATCTTTGCATGCTCGGCAGATATAACCTTGCGGCCGTTGAACTCGGCGACGTTCGTCATCACAAAATCGTCCATGGGGCTGTAGACGAACAGCACCTCTTTGTTCATTTTCCTACAAAAGCAGAAACAAGCAGATCAGTCAATACTTGTCACAACAATGGCAGCGGCGGAACAGCCCAAGAAGTGCACACATACTTGAAGGCCTCGAAGTACGGGGACGACTCCGCGATTGCTCGGGTAGGCGCGCATAAGTAGTACATCTCGTTCTGGTCTGGGGGACAGCGTGACACGTACTCATCGAGACTCGTCAACTTACCTGCATCTACTTGACTCGATTCATAACGTAGGAGCTTTGCCAATGCATCTTTGTTTGCAAAGTCGGTACAGATGCCCTCTTTGATAAACTGGCCAAACTCGCTGAAGAACTTTTCAAACTTGTCTGGCTCCTTCGTGGACTGTATTGCACAACATAGTACACCACCAAACGCATATTAGTGCAACTCGGCCAGCAAACGGCTGTTCAGACAATCGCTCAGCTTCATCTTACCTCACGCTCCAAGAAACGAACGATTCGTCGCGTCAGGACATCGCGAATCTTATGGATCAAGCGGCTGTCCTGCATCTTCTCACGCGAAAGGCTGAGCGGAAGGTCCTCGCTATCAACGACACCACGTACGAAGCGCATCCAGTCTGGCAGAATGTCAGGCGAGTTGCGCTCGATGAGAACCTTTCGTGAGTACAGGCTTACGCCCGGCTCCAGACGAGCAAAGCCAAACTTCTCCGTGTGGGAAGAACCAATAAAGAAGAGAGTCTTCAGCTCAATGGGAGCATCCGCCTTGAAAATGAGGCGGTAGGCAGGCTCATCAAACGCATTGGCGATGAACTTGTAGAATTCAGTGTACTCCTCGTCTGTCACATCGCTCTCACTTTTAGTCCAGAGCGCCTGAACGGTGTTGACCGTGTCGCCGTCAAGGACAATCGGGAACGAGACAAAGTTCGAGTAGCGACGAATGATGGACTCCACCTTTGCCTTGGTGCCAAAGTCTTTGCAGGAATCCTTCAGGTAGACCACGATCTTACTGCCACGCGTTACGTCAGTTGCGTCAGCGATCTCGTACGATCCACTGCCATCCGACCGCCACAAGGTTCCCGAACGACCGGGCACTGCCGATTGCGAAAAGACCTCTACCTTCTCGGCAACCATAAACGCCGAGTAGAAACCGACACCAAACTTACCAATGATGCCGCCAAGCGCATCGCCTGATTCGCCGGTCGAGCTCTCTTTCAACTGTTCTAGAAACGCCTTGGACCCCGAGCGTGCAATCGTGCCCAAATTCTCAATCAGCTCTTCCTTTGACATGCCCACACCTGTGTCTGCAATAGTGAGCGTGCCGGCCTTTTCGTCCGTCGTGATCTCAATCTTTGGCTCCAGCTCTGCATCCTGGAGGTCTGCTCCCGTAGACTGCAAGTGACGGAGTTTCTCGAGCGCGTCCGAGGCATTCGAGATCAGTTCGCGGATAAACACGTCCTTGTCCGTGTAAATCGAGTGCGTCACGATATCCAGCAGCTGACGCGTCTCGGCTTGGAACTCGTGCCGATTCGCTTCGCAATCGATACAAACACACAGCATAAAACGCACACACTCATCAGTAGACTGTTGGTCGTCAGTTAGGGCACCCTACAGCAGTCGCATACAGTGCAATAGCGCCCACTCACTTTTAACGTCCGACGCACTCGTACTAAAGCCGGCGCCCACGTGCGGCATCGCTGCTACGATCGGACATCGGCGCGGAACGAGGCGCGCACTCGATACTGCTGAGCGCTGCAAGGCACGACGTGGACGCGCTGCAGACGAGGACCACGTGCGGCCCGCGACGCGCTGGACGGCCGCGCGCATCGTCGTCATCCTCATCATCCGGTCGGTCGGTCGTTCGTAGCCACGAGCTTTGTGTCGATTCTAGAACCGCTTGATTGGCATGAGGGAATGAGGTGCACCACACAAAGCTGGTCGCACGTGCTGTGGACGACGAAACACATGCCGGCGAAAACTTATACGCTGTGGCCGCGTGTCGTTTCGGTTACGTGTTTTCGTTAGAAATGGAACGGAGCTCGCAGAAGCGAACCTAAGCAGCTCGCGAGGAAGAGAGAGAGAGATAAAACGGTGCCTCCTCGTTAACTATATAAACGGTAGAAGACAGTATGTCGCCACAGTAGATCCGTTTTACCTGCAGCTACAGTTGCTGGCAGTCGCTTATGTTGCCGAGACCTTTCGTGTCGCACGCGGCATCAAGAACAGCTCCAGCTTCAACGACCCCATCGTCGCCCCACTCATTCACTCGCCAGCTCGAGTCCAGTAATGTGGAGCCGCGCCGTCGCTCCGTCTGCGCGTCGATGCGCTCTACGCTCGTCCCCCACCGTAGTCGTTCAGCTTCGCCATCACGTCATTGGACGTCGCGTGCCGTCAGAAGAGACGCTTGCAGCGCTCAAAGAGCTCTTGGGCGACCGCCTCTCGACTGCAGCGTCTGTATTAGAGGTACGTGCAGATCGATCTGACTTCCGCAACATAGCAACAGAAGGCTAGAAACCGTTGGTGGGCTTGAGTTGCTCCAGTGGTAGTCCCACTCTCAAACGGGGCTGACGTCATGTACCCATTTTCGATCACTAAACTGTATCCATATGGTATAGCAACACGGCACGGACGAGTCGTACCACGCCGTTGCGCCGCCTGATGCCGTCGCGTTTGTCCAGTCGACTGAAGAGGTGTCCGAAGTGGTCAAGATCTGTGCTGCTGGCGATACGCCCGTGATTCCATTCGGTGCCGGCTCGTCGCTTGAAGGACACATCTCGGCTGTCCAAGGTGGGGTCTCAGTTGACCTCACGGGCATGAACGCCGTCTTGAACGTGGAGTTTGAGAACATGAGCTGCAAGGTGCAAGCAGGAGTCACTCGTGAACAGCTGAATGTCGACCTACGCGCAACGGGCCTCATGTTCCCAGTCGACCCGGGCGCCAACGCTTCGATTGGAGGGATGATCGCTACCAATGCATCCGGTACAACTACCGTGCGGTATGGCAACATGAAGACGAACGTTATGGCGCTGACGACTGTTCTGGCGGATGGACGGATCGTCAAGACGGGCGCTCGAACCCGCAAGTCGTCCGCTGGGTACGACCTCACGCGTCTGTTCATTGGCTCCGAGGGAACGCTGGGCATCGTCACGGAGGCTGAGCTCCGTCTGTTTGGTATTCCCGAAGCAGAGAAGACAATGATTTGTCAGTTTGACTCGATCCGGAACGCTGTCGACATGTGTGCGACTGTGATGCAGATGGGCATTCCGGTGGCGCGAATGGAGTTGATGGACGAGAACGCTGTCGAGGCGATCAATAAGTACTCGAAGCTCACAACCCCCGTGCGGCCGTCGCTCATCGTGGAGCACCATGGTTCACCCGGTGAGGTGAAAGAGCAGAGTGCTATTGTAGTGGACATTGCCAATGACTTTGACGCGAAGGATATTGAGCTGGCGAATAGCATTGAAGAGCGTAAGAAGCTGTGGAGTGGTCGCCATGCTGCTTGGTACGCCACGATAAGCCAAATGCCTGGCAGCCGTGGTTTATCTACCGATGTCGCTGTTCCGTTTGGTAAATTAACGGATGTGATCGTCGAGACACAAGCGGACTTGAAAGAGTCTGGATTGTTTGGCGCGATTGTTGGACACGTTGGTGATGGCAACTTCCACGTCATGTTGCCTATTTTGCAAGATGATGCAGAGCTGATGCGAAGGGTGCACGAGTTCTCTGATCGCCTAGTCAACCGAGCTATCAAGTATGAGGGCACGTGCACGGGCGAACACGGCATTGGCATTGGCAAGCTGGACTATCTGTTGAAGGAACATGGCGATACGGTGGAAGTGATGCGCACGATTAAGAAGGCGCTGGACCCTAAGAACATCATGAACCCGGGCAAGATTTTTGCAGCGACGAGTGCCACTTGGTGATGCAGTGGGCGATGAGCTCGAACTGCGTATGAAGCAGCATGCGCTGGCTCGTGGGGCGATATTGCTAATGTTTTATATAGTGTCACATTACATATAGTGTTGCTTCCGCCAATGATCTTTTTGTCTAGGATGCAGACAACGCTCGACAATCTATCAACTTACAGCGGCGCAACTTGTTGCTGCTTCTGTATATCGATATCACTCGCGGCTTCTTTGCTAAGAAAGTAGACGTCACGTGACAGCTCGGGCTTGATGATATCCATGCTGCAAACCCCTTGTTAGTTATCATAAGTGCTGTTGGCAAATGCTTCAGGAACTGCAACGGTCAAGCAATTGGCTCCAAGCCATACTACGTCTACAGGTGCCATGTCGATCATTATTGTTGACATACACATTCATTTTTCGTCGGCATGGCCCCAAAGATGATGTACCAGTTGAGACAGCCGAGATGACAAGAGATCGAAAACTCGTCTGTGTTGTAACAGTTACATGTTGTTCACTAGCCACCCGTAGTCGATAATTAGACAGGACGCTCTGCATCATCACCGACCTTGAAGTGCATTGCACAAACGGCACTCCTAAGCTCAAAGTAGGTAGATGGCCTAGTTGAAGGATCCCGGCAAAGATGTGAAGGTTTGGGTCCGGCTTCACACTATTGACGGTTGTGATTGACGTCACAAAACTGCTGGGAGAGTTGGGCGATGAGATGACATGAGCTTCCCAGACGCGTTTCCAGGCTTTGTCGATGGTGTGATCATGAGCCCTAGAAATGCTAAACAAAAGGCTGTCGAGTTTAAAGTATGCAATCTACACAAAGACACAGTCGGTATCATCATTTCACGACCATTCTCTGTCCACAATACAGTATCGAGTACAACATTCCGACGATGGAAGGGGGAGCGTCTGCAGCCGCGTCCCGCGTCCCCATAAAGCTTCCAGGCAATGTGTTGGAGTTGCTGGAAGCTTCTGCGCACTTGAATCTGCCGCTCGAGCTTCGATTGTTGATGACGCTGGTGGCACTCTTGCTCTTCCTACTGCTTCTCATTATGGTGCTGTGGGACCGCTACGGCAAAGAGATCGGAGAGCTTTACACATCGCCCGTGGGCACGAAAGCTCAGGAACAAAACGCCAGTGGTACAACACGCAGTATTCGTTGAACCTGCAGCTATATTCTGTAGCAGCTTCTCATGGCTCCTTTGTTCTATATGTGACCCAGTAGACACCAAGGTGCACGACGTCGCGGACGAGTTCACGATGTACCAGAAACTCCCGACTTTCTTCTACGAGTACGTGCCGAGACAGAAGAAAAGCAGCTAAAGGAGACGAAAAAGAAGTGAAGATGTTGCAACGAGCGTCGGTAGATTCTTCTTCTGCTACGCAAGCTTCTCATTCGAAAACGCAGGCTGCACCTCCTTCCTGATAGCAACTGCATTGGCATCGTCGATCGTTTCTCCGTCATGACCACATGACGCCGCTTCAGTGTACTGGGGTAGTCCGATCATAGCTGTTGCTTCGACTGGCAGCGAGTACATGTAGACGCCAAAGCTGACGAAACTCACGGCAGCTGCAGTGTACAAAGTGACTGCTTGACCGAAAAACACAGCACTGAGCAGCGGTAGGAACACTAGTTCTAGTGCACTGGCAATCGCCTTGCGGATGGAATCCAAATGTTTGAGGAAGAGACTTGTGACCACACCAATGCACGACATGATGAGCACCATCGGCAGCACATGGCGTGAAAACAGCACGCGAACGTTGGCCATTGTCAGAGCTTCTTGAGCCGTCTGCCCCGTAAGTCCCAGAGCGAGCATTGCTAGCGTGCAGACGATCGAGTCAATGTACATGAAGACGTTTTGCAGATTTACGGGAATCGATGCTTGTTTCTTGAGAAGAACTTCATTGTAGACACCAGCGAACGTGCTACTGAGTAGCTGTACCATCAAGAGTCCATAGGCCACGAGAGGTGGACTGGTGGCGTCATTGCTCTGGTCGGGAGACCCACTGAGGAGGTCAGGCGAGCCCAATGTCTTGATGGCACAACCCACGGTGGTCACACCCAATGAGACCCACTGGTTTCGGTTCAGTCGCTTCTTGAACATCATCTGGTGCAAGATGCCCGTCACCACCAGTCGAAACTGAAGCAGCAGAAAGTACGTCGCAGCATCGAACGCACGCAAGTTCACGTACGACAACACGTCGTAGACGACGTAGAGCGCCGACGGTATCAAGTACAGGAGCAGGAGGTTGCAATGCTCACGTACTTGTGCCATCATCGACCAGAAGCGAGTGGCCAGTGGCTCTGTTACACGAGTGTCGGACGTCATGTACATGCACGTGGCCAGCAACAACTTGAGCAGCGACTGGAGCACGACGGCAGAGGCGGAATTAAAGCGCACGCTTTGACGCTTCGCCATTTCATTGAGCAGCCCGTAGGCCACCCAGAGGCCCATGTACGTGACGAAGATACCACGTTGGGCTTTGGTCTCGAGTCCCAGCGGTGCTGCCATAAGATGAAGCGGAGGACGACAGCGATGTAGAAAAGAGCAAATGGCAATGCGTCCGATGGCGCGACGGACGAGCGTTTGTGACTTACTCGGCGTTACAATGACGACGGCGTTTTACTATGAGTGTAAGCCCGATACAGTATCGAGTTTGATCAGACGCACGTCATTATCGACAAATCCATCGATTTTCTATCGGTCTGTCGTTGTCGTTCCGTGTGTACGAGGCGCTATCGCTCTATTACCTGGATATGCGGATGGAATAAGGCGGGAGATAGTAGTCTACTGCGCAAAAGAGGTTCGACTTGAGCTCCATATCACGGAAGTGACGCGTGCGTTCTTACCCAGACGATGAAATCGAAAGCTGCGAAACGGTCGAATGGAAGGCTTCTGCGCTGGCACAAGTAGGATCGCCACGTTGGCCAGAAGCTTCGATTGATCTAAGCGACTGTCGTACGTCGCATCGTCTTCCAAGAAAGAGTAGACGAGCGAGAAACGACATCCCGAGCTTTGTGCGTCGTCGACACATTCCACAATGCTGACGTGTGACATCTGCGCCATCACACGCTGACGGGTTCATCGTGTCGGTAGCAAAACTTTAGGTTGCGATGAGCTAGTGGCGCGTACACGCAAGATCATTGCTTCGTTACTTCTTTACGTCTTGCTCATGCCATGGCTGCCGCTAGATCTTCACATGACGACTTCAGTCATCCATGTGACCAAGCATCAACATGTGTTGTGCTTCGCTTGGCGATTGTTGATTTGTGACCTCGTCGTCATGGACAACGCCACAACCTAGATCACTTCCGCATAAAAGTGACGAGTGCTGCTTGTATGCGATACAGCGACGGTGAGCAATGCTCTCTGTCTCAGTGATGGATCAGTGACGCCAACCTATGCCCACCGACCCGTTGCACATTCGGTCCTCATATAATCGCTCTTGACTCACCATTGCATACCAAAAGTTGCATGGACTTGTGCTTCTTAGCTACACTTTTTGGTACCAAGGTATAGCGAGGAAGCACAAGTTCAAGCGAGGGGCCAAGATCATAAGCCGTTTCCAGACTAAAACATCCACGTGCTCGTTTGCCAAAGGTAGTGGCGAAGGCGTTATTGTGTATCTAATTTCACTGTTGCAAAAACAATATGCAATTGAGACAAACTAATTGTGAGTCCCGGGATGCGATACCGTTGGCAAGTGAGTGTGCGTAAACGGATTGCCAAACTCTACGGCAGCTACTTTCTGTATGCGTAAAGACACGTAGTCACACAGGCTGTACCGCACAACTGCTGGTGGGATCTACTCACACGGAGAGATACATAGTAGGTGTCATTCTCTAGTCAAAGACGAATCTCACCAGAGATCTCGATCCCACTTAGAGATCACGAGGTTACCTAGAGATCATGAGATCACCCAGAGATCGCGAGATCACCCAGTCGTGTTGATGCGAAATAAGACTCTTTCGCAATCAGCTAGTCACTCGCATGGGCGTGATTGAACAAAAAGACAATAGGGCGATGACGATTTTTCCAAGCCACAATGAAAAGTTTTGGTCAAAGTCAGCATCGATAAGGCACTAAAAGACGCTGTGGAACAGTATCGTTCGAAATGTCACTCGACATAGACTTGCTACTCCCGCCATATTGACCATGACAGAGTGGCGTACTACCATTCCCACGCATAGTAATTTCTTTTTTCATGGTATCATAGAAACGAAAACGCAATGAGTCGAGTGTCGGCCTCTTCGCTTGGCGATCGATGAAGCCCCTAACAACGAGGTGGGACTAATGACGCTGACGTAGTTTGGTACGCCTTTTCATTAATCATTACATGCCTTCATCATAAGCCCCACTTCGCTGTTGTTGTAGCAGTTGTTGTTGATTTGCTGTTGTTGGATTTGCACGGACGAGGTCGATGAATCTGTTACTTCTTCTTATCCTTCCCTTCATCACATCCACAGCTCCAAAGACTTGCTGTATCACACGATAACTACGACACCAATGTAGTCGCCATATCTTACAACGAACAAGCCGTCTCCAGCCGCCGATCCCAGTCATTTTACATCGTACGGAATTATTGATACCTTGCTCGATTTGTTCTTTGGACTGATCAACTACTTATATGAGCGGGCTCCAAACCTTGCTTGTAGCAGAGCTGTTAGATCCCCTTTGCCAGTGGAAGGCTTCTAGCTCACGAGCTGTTTTGTTCATTACAAGAACACGACTTAGCAAGTCTGCTTTGCTCACTGAGCTTCCAGTCCTGCTTCAAAGAAACTAATACGATTCAGGAAATGAACAGCACCAAGTGCTAAAGAGTATATGTCGTAAAAAGACTTCTTACTCTTGAGACCAAACACGCCTCAACAAGGCACGTGTCTTATTCAGATCGAAAGATGAACAGGTTGTTTATTTAGCGTTTTAAGACAGGATAAAATCCTGCGTATTTCATAAAATGTAAGGTTTCACCCTCTAATAGAGTAAAATCTGAAACCCACCATGGGCGGCAGAAGCAACATTGATTTGAATTAGTGAGACATCACAGGGTACGCGTACCTCGCCCATGGATGCACCACTCACAGTGTACCACCGTTACAGCTTCGATACAAAGATCGGCTTGCTGATTACTCTGGGCATTCGCTCGTCTATTGATCTGTTTGACCAGCGAAACAGGTATAGCAAGACGCAAGTGTTGAGATGTGTGCACAGGTCGACTGAACCTTTGAGTGCAGGCACGACGCCTGATGATTTGAGCTGCATGGGCGACGCCGGCACCTTGTGCGAGTCGGCGCTTTGTACGGTCTTGTTACCGTGAATGACGGCTCTTCAGACTGCCTGGCGACTGTGATTTGGCACATCAGTAGACGTGATCCTTGTCTCGGCGTGCCGGCCTGCCATATCCCCACTTTGCTGTCGCTTGGAGCATCCGCATGACAGTTTCCGGGGCTTCCTTGATGCAGTCTTCGGTGGTGATGTCCACACGTAGGAACGTTACCCTATCTCGCTAGATCACAATCCATTCGTTCGCGTGCTGCTCAATCAATATATGACCGCAGTTGCTTCCAGACGGGGCGTGTACGCTCATCTCATCAACCGAATCGCTCCGAAGACAATCCTTGACTACCGCCGATAGCTCCTACGCCTGTCCGCGTGCATCAGGTACGACCAAGCAAAGCAGACGTCGTAGCTCTCAGCGGTTACCCGTCCCATGACGTATCAGGGTTGACCAGCAGATTATGCGCACGGGCAAGCAAGCTCAGAAAACGCGTCCATACCCTGCTCCGCTTCAAGGCATCACCATAGCATACGACCACGTGGGTCCGTTCCTGCCCCATGAAACGAAGGTCCAGCTGCCTCACCGACACACGCAAGATGAACCAGAGCTGGTACTCCTTGCGCTTATGCTTGGGAGCCCGTATCGTTGTTGGCGCCTCGTGTCATGCTGCAGCCTGTTAAGCACTCTCCCGCACTGCCTGCCAGAGCTTCTCAACAAGTAAGAGCTATACTCGATCCTTTCACTCCACGATACAGTTGCCGCTTGCAGCCAAAAGAACGTAAGGATTCGCTTGTGGAGTTAGGCACGCGCCGCGATAACCATGGATCAGCGGGTAGGTCAGCGGTTCAGATCGAATACGATACCGCGACCCGACTCCGCCTATATGAATCCTCTGATGCTGCCCGTTGCAATGGCATTCAGGAGTAGCATTGATCGGGTGCGAAGGTAGCGCTGGAGTAGACTCTGTCAACAGCTGGACTCTGCCGCCAATGCCTGACCCCGGCGCAGTGATCAAATTGCTCGTCCCTAGCCGCGCACCTCGGCTTGTTGATGGGTGGCTGTACATTTTTCAATAGTGCCAAGCCAGATCTTTAGCAGACTTCTGCGCGGTCAAAGTGTTGCACTCGTGATCCAGAATCTAGATGTTGTTTGTTTGCCCAAGAGCACGTGAGCCAAGACACTTTCTTTTCTGCTGTTGCCGCATGAAAGTGCCGAGGAAGTGGCTACCCGAGTCCAATCATATATTCTACTATAGTAAGCCAGCCGGTGCCGTTGAGGTCAGGCTCTCGAGATCCACCATGTGCGAGCCACAGTTCTCGTCCGAATTCAGTAGAGTCGGTAACGACAGCCACAGATGACTGAGTGCAGAACGCGACAGTGCTATCGACGAGAGGGCGAACGACCAACGTGTTGCGGTACTGTTGCTGGTCGTGTGTTGCCATCGGTGCATAGAATATCAGAGCTGCCGGTGAGCGACAAGCAGAGCGCGACACTCGATCAGTTACTTTTTAGACTACAGTGGACACCTGTGACATGCAATCGTTTGGCATGACCTCTGCGCTGTGATGCAGCCTGCATGTGGCCAGTTGTAGCCGGAATTGGCTATCAGTATGGCGTATACCCGAGAGGGTTGCACATAGTCCCGATGTGCAGCCTTGTCCCAGCCACCTCCTCGTACGTTGATCTAGCGCAAAGGAAGCCCCGACACAACATGATGTACCCCGAAAGGTGCTGTCTGCTTCGATCAGATCGAGTCCATACAGCAGAGGTGATCGCGCCGTTGTCAGTCCGACACTTCTGTAACGGTGTCGGTAGGTATTTGACGCGATGGTGCTGACACCTTGCGATCTCTTAATCTTGACTGAAGAGCGAGTATGCATTTCAGCTCCAACGTTGGTGTGTATCAGTCGCTCGTTCTACTTGTTGCTGCGAAATAATGTATATAGGGCAGATGCTCACGCACCCGTGCAAAGAGTGCGGTCAAACCCTGTTTTTGCACAATCAGCCCATCTGGTCTCGATGTCACATGGAGTGGTGTATCCATTTACTGTATAAGCGGTGGGTTGCGCCCGGTCCTAACGTTTGGTCGTTGCCCACTTACCACCTCGTATGCGGTACGCGATCGAAAAACGCGAAAGGCGACACATCGTCATGCGGACTCGAATGGTGCGGCGCCCCTCGATTTTCGATAAGCGTGCACAACAGTGGTTTGAACCCTTCCGCATACAGATGA